GGGGGGGCAGATGTGACAGAAGTGGATGAGGCCGGGCCCCGCCGCACGGGTGCTTAAAAAAGGACGCTTCCACCGGCTGACTAATGGGCCCGCTGTTGGTGGTCGTAATAAATAAGGCGACGGGCGGCGGTTGGGTGGCCTACAGGTGGGGACGCGGTGGCCGACAAGGAGACGCGCGGCGCGTCCGCGCCGACGCATTTCAGGCGCAATTTTGGGTCGAAAATGGATCGACGCGGACGCTAGGCGGACGCAATTTGCGTTTGGGTCGGCGCGTTGGGCCTCCACTTTTGTCCGTGCCGACCCAAATTGATCGTCCCATTGGAGTTGCTCTTATTTACCCAAGTGCTTCATTTTTTTCAACACCTATACGTATATACTAATAATAAGTCAAAAGTGAATTCCGCTTTTCGCCAGGTGATGGCTGTGTTCCGGTGACGTCTTTTCAATACATCTTTTCAAATTGGAGACACATTCATGGCCGTGAACATGTCATCTGAGCCCATTTTGCAGCACTGGGTCATGTTGTGCTCACGGTCGCAGCATGCTGAGCTCAGGAAAAAGACCGTCCACCACCCTACTATCCGACTCCGGTTTAAACACGAGCCATGTTGCGCTCGCCGGTTGCGACATGACCCATGTTGCACTCGGGATAACATTCACCTGTTACCTCCGGGAACGAGTTGCGTTGACGGACGTCAAACAAAACTCAGATCTGATGGCTGCGGAGACGGCCGACGCGCGCCGAGTTGTCATCGTGCTATTTGCAAGCGTTTCCCTTTCAAATTCATGTCATGTCCATTCAAGAAAACTCGAATTTTTGGGTCTACCACATCGAATAAGGGCTACGGTTATTTTTCTTGCATCAAGTGCAGGGATAGATTTCGCTCATCTCTCTCGTCTCCAAACCCCTGAGAGGAGATTTTCTGGACGTATATCGCGTCACCATTCCTCCTCCACCGGTAGGTCGCCGACCTTCTGCTATGCCGTTGTGCGACTCTGAGGAAGGCCCCAACCTCTAGTTTTTCCTGCTTTGAGGATTTTAGTAGGGTTATTACATGACGACGAATCGATGGTAGTGCCAACGGCGTCAGTCTGGCGAATAAAGTTTCCTCAAGCCTCCTCGGTGTCGTCCATGTGGCGTTGGTAGCTCGTTGGTGCAGATTCTTGTCGGCCTCCTTGTCTAGCGAAATTAGGATTTCCAAGATTTGTCGGCATGACGACAACAAGGGCTTCCCTTTGCAGTTCGGTCCTCCAGCTTCGTTTCCGACACATAAGTGTGGCCTTCGGTGCTAGTAGGAGGCATGTGAGTTCTTTGGAGGTTGGAATCTTGGATTTGTGATCTTCCGGTAGTGTCAGCTTTAACACTTTCTTCGCCAGGTCATTTTCTCTTTAGGACCATGGTCTTGATGATTTCTTGCCCCTCATCAACCATGACTGGCTGCTTGTCAGCAAGTGTGAGAGGAAGACAACCCAGGACCGGCGTGTAATTTTTTAAAATTTTGTAAGTGTGGCCAGTAAAGGTTGGTTTATTTTAATGTAACCTTTGGCCTTCTCGCCAAAAAAGAGTTTATTAAGTTTCAAGGTTGATTAGCTTCCCCTATGCTGTGATGTATTAATGGTTGTAAGATGTTGGGGTTTGTTTTTCTATAAAATGCTGTTGGGCATGATGCCGCATGCCTTGAATAGTCATATAGAAACATAAAAAATGAAACATTTAAATTATTTTACATCCCCCCCCCCCCGCCCCGCCTTGAGGTTCGGGATGCGCGGTAGTGAAGGGGTTGGGGGTAGTGAG